CCACTTAATGAGAGTGCTGGAATAGAAGTCAGAAGGCAAGGGAGACTACAAAATAACTCCCACCAAAGCCAGCAGTCAGGCCTCTTCCTGCATAGCCACCCAGCTCAACACATTCCCTTTTCTTAGTTAACATAAGTAAGAGGCAAAACTATCAGCATAAGCAGCAAATGTAACAGGGATGGTGCAGTGCCACCTATGCTGCACATAAATAATGCAATGAGAATTCAACACTGTAACACATAAATGACTCCATGACAAATTTGTCATCATTATGCTTGGATAATGCCTCAGAGCATCCAAATTTGGGTAAACAGTCTAGGCCCGAGGAGGTATGAGGTTGGGGAAAAATTACTGTTGCGGTGTTGGAGGCACTGGGGTTAAATCTTAGTGGCTTTTCTTCCACTGTGATTTCAGGAAGCCTTAGGTTTACTGCTGTGACACAGAGAAAGAACACTAGCCATCCTGTAGATCTCAGTCCAGGGCCAGGTGGAAGTCTCTCTCCCCTTCGATACAAAGCTTGATATGTTGGAAGTAGTACAACATCTTCCTTGAGACACACATGCGCTGTTTGCTCTTGAGTTTCCAAAACCAAGTATATTTTAACACACACACACACACACACACACCCTACTAATAGGTATTTTCTACCACACACATTTTAAGTCAGAATCAGTGAAGGACACAAAGCTGTATTGCAGTAGAAAATGAGAAACTTTTTGTTGAGTGCTGCTGAGTGTGGAGAATGCAGTAGGCGAAGCATCTTCTGGCGCAGAGCAAGTGGCTAGTCATGTTTGCCTTGGCTCCCCTTCTGAGAGGCAGCTCTGCCCACAGCACTAGGCCAACACTAACTCGGCGGCACCTAGGCTCACCTCTATAAAGACCATATTTACACCATAGTCAGAATGTTCCACATGAAGAGCAGTGTGGCTGCCATAGTCAGCAGATCCGTGTGGTTCCTTGGAGAGGGGCAGAGGCCAGGGACGGGGGAGGGATGCTGGCACATGGGACACAAGATGTGCAGGTCTCAGGCCTTGGAACCCTGGGACCAGCTCTGGGAATTTTGAAATTATTTGGCCAGGAGTAACTGATTTCTCAGCAAATCACCTGGTATTGGTTGGTGTGGTGGTCTAAGCTCTGCTCTCCTCCCTGGCATTCTTGATGGAGACACCATAGGTACAGGGTACATAGTCACTGTAGAAAACAGGGAGTGTTCCATTGGTTGCCTTCCTGGTAAAGGCAAGTTGAGTCTGGCTGCCAGGCTAGACCCAAGTGTACCATCATCTTTTGTAACTTGAGAATGACCAGCCTCAGCTGGATTTACTCAGGCCCTGCAGTAGGCTCCAGTGCCTGCACCCACACACCTGCAGGCTGAGTTGGGAACAGAGCCTTCCAGAGCTAGTCATCAGTTGGTGGGCTCTTCTCCCAAGCCCAGCCCCTGAGCCTCAGATCATGGTGGCCTTAGGCTGAGTAGATATCCCTTGGAGTGTTCCTGAGAGTACTTTGGTCCTGATGTCACCCTAGGATACTGCTAGGACACCTTTCTTATGTGGGAACCCTGTGTGGTTTTCAGTTCTTAATGGTCTAGTTAGAGTCTCATTGACAACAGAAATGACCAGATTTTAAAATTGGATCTGGAACGCCCTACTCCAATTTACCCATTTAATGCCAAGGCAAGTGTACCATGTAGGCGTGTGTCCAACCCTGCCTGGCGAGTGGCAGGCCCCTGGGTGTCCTGAACAGGCCTGAAGACAGACCCTGTAAAGGGCATGGCAACAATTTTGTTTGATAGTGTTTAAGTCTCATTTTTCAAGAATTTTGGTAAAATCATAGTCCATGTCAATGGCTACCTTTCGGTGAAGCAGGGTACAAACAGTGGCCTCAAGACAGGAATACTTTGCAAGTTGCCAAAGGTGTTGGCACTGTACAAACCATTTCTTCCTTACAGTGGGGGTGAGCTCGCTCTGTCCTCACCATTGAGCTATGGCAGAGCTTTGAGGAGTTCGCAAAAATGTCTGAAACCTAAAAATCATACTGGCTTTCAGGATGTGAAAAGAAAGGTACAAAATAAAAATTTATTACCTATGATTAAATTCCTACAAAGTATACCACCCGTCTTGTCAAATTCATTGATTGTTAACTTTAGCCTCCCTAAAAGATGTTATTACTTTGGGAAACAATTTGTAGCTTAGATTTTTCTCACTTCCCAAGAATTCCTGAGCAGGCCTAGTGTTTGCTGAGAAATCAGAGCCAACCATAAATTAGATGAGTTACTCCTGGCCAAATAATTTCAAAAGCAGAATTATTCAAACTCTTTCAAAATCGTTACAGTAAAAATTATATTGGATGTGTGAGGTGGGTACACTTCAGAGCGTGCATCTGACACAGCTCCAGGTCTCCCAAGAACCCTTAGGACCCATAAAGGGCTTCCAGGGGCCCCAGCCTTCCTGTTTGACCTCAAAATAAATAATACTGCTCTACTGGAGTGTCCAGTGGTAGTTTCAGGCTGAGAAGCGTGTACCCACCCAGGGTTCCAGCAGGGCAGCTGGGTAGGAAAGATGGGAGTTTAAACAACTTAGGAAAGAGGTGGGGCTACGGGTGGAGCTCAGGGCCAGAGACCTTGCTTACTTGCTTTCTTTGAACACTGGGTTTCCACCACCACCTGGGGCGGGGGAGACAGGAGAGAGGAGGGGGAGAGAGAGAGAGAGAGAGAGAGAGAGAGAGAGAGAGAGAGAGAGAGAGAGAGAGAGAGAGAAGTGGAGAAGTCCTGGAAGTCTCACTGTGTACAGGTAAGCACGCCTTCTGGGCTCCAAGGATCAGGGTAGAGCCTGCCTTCTCCAGTGCTGCTTCTGGTAGCCCCCAACATTGCCCGGTGAGGTAGTCTCTGGACGTGAAGAGCTCACTGTTGAGTGCAGGCTCATCACGGAAGAATTTATCAGAGCCAGAACTCTCAGTCCACAGGTGCTGAACAAGTGGCCGGTGGTCCTGTGGTCAGCAACCTATGGACCCTTCCCGAAGAAGGGGGCAGCTTCATTGGGTCTTCTTAGGAACCTGTGTTGGCTTTCCCTGGTCACCTTTTATCTTCCATATGCTCACAAAGTCCTCTTTATCCTCTGTTCTGCCATTTGACCCTGCAACTAGACCACAAGCCACTTGGTATGTAATTTGTGGCACTTTGGTCTTTTTCTCTACCTGAAACAGGACATTTGCCTAGCATTGAACCCAGTCTTCATGGCTTCCTGACAGTTGGTGACAGTGGCTGAGAGCAGTTTTGCAGGGCCTCAGCCCCTTGTCACCTGCTCTTGAAAGCCTTTCCCAGCCCCAGAAGGACTGCTTCATTGTGCCCAGGCTCCCTAAATGCCTTTGTATTTATCTCTTCTAGACTACAGTAT